TTGACCTCGTGATCCACCCGCCTCGGCCTCCCAAAGTGCTGGGATTATAGGCGTGAGCCACTGCGCCCGGCCGAGAGTGAAACTCTTAAAATAAAAAAATAAACCAGGGTCTCACTCTATAGCCCAGAGTCAGTGGCATGATCATGGTTCACTGCAGCCTCGACCTCTTGGGCTCAAGCTGTCCTTCTGCTTTGGCCTCCCGTGAAGCTGGGACCACCATACCCGGATTTCTGTTGCCCGGACTGGAATGCAGTGGTACTCTCTCCGGTCACTGCAGCGTCTGCCTCCCAGGTCCAAGTGATTCTTTTGCCTCAGAATAGGCATGTAACACCACACCAGGCTAATTTTTTTTTTTTTTTTTTTTGAGACGGAGTTTCGCTCGTTACCCAGGCTGGAGTGCAATGGCACGATCTCGGCTCACAGCAACCTCCGCCTCCTGGGTTCAGGCAATTCTCCTGCCTCAGCCTCCTGAGTAGCTGGGATTACAGGCACGCGCCACCATGCCCAGCTAATTTTTTGTATTTTCAGTAGAGGTGGGGTTTCACCATGTTGACCAGGATGGTCTCGATCTCTTGACCACGTGATCCACCCGCCTGGGCCTTCCAAAGTGCTGGGATTACAGGCTTGAGCCACCGCACCCGGCCCAGGCTAATTTTTGTATTTTCAGTAGAGACAGGGTTTCATCATGTTGGCCAGATCTCAAGTGATCCACCTGCCTTGGTGTCCCAAAGTGCCACCTAGACCGGCTGATACCCTGTCTTTAAAAAACAAACACAGAAAAATGGCCGGGTGCGGTGGTTCACGCCTGTAATCCCAGCATTTTGGGAGGCTGAGGTGGGTGAACCACGAGGTCAGGAGTTCAAGTCCAGCCTGACCAACATGTTGAAACCTCCTCTGTACTGAAAATATATAAATTAGCTGGAAGTGGTGGCAGGTGCCTGTAATCCCAGCTACTTAGGTGGCTGAGGCAGGAGAATCACTTGAACCTGAGAGGTGGGGGTTGCACTGGGCCAAGATCACATCACTACACTCCAGCCTGGGCAACAGAATGAGACTCTAGCTCAAAAAAAAAAAAAAAAAAAAGGGGGGCAGCTGAGCCCTGCCTTGGAGTCGCCCCAGCTTGCAGGAATGAGGCCACTGGTGTTGGTGAGCTCACCTGTTTACTTGCCTGTCTTCCCAGAGGAGGATCCAGGCATCCTGGGGCAGAGACAGACCCCACAGGAGCAGCCCCCTCAAAAATCCCCTCACAGAGTCACTGGCAACAACGTGGTTCTGCACCAACAGGGTGGGGACAGCTCCTTATTTGGTGACAGAAAACCAGAACTCAGGCACACACAGCAGGTTTTCTGACTTTTATTAAATCCTTACAAAACAGAATAGAAAATTCCGGCATTGACAGTTGGTGTAAAGGAAAACTTCTGAGTTCTATCAGTTCACCTGGTACAATGGAATTAAAGTGCTTGGATGTTTTTCCCCCACTTTAAAAAAACTTTGAGTTTTTTTTTTTTTTTTTTCTTTTAAAAACATCGTTAACATTGACACATGGCTGTTCCTTTCCCCAGCGCTGGGAGCTGGCCTGGGCATCCCAGGATCTCTGCTCATTCACAGTATGGTTCTGACAAGTCCTCCAGGTCACATGTGGACGTGACAGGGGCGGGGGAGGGGGACTGGAAGAGGATGTGACTGTCCCACCTTCAGGAAAAAAAAAAGCTGCTAGCCACTCAGCTTTCGAGCTGGGATGGCTGTGGGCGCCTGTAGCAGGCGGGGGTGTTTGCTATTTCTTTTATACAAAAAGGCAGAGAATCCCCCATTGCAAAATATGGAATCACTGACGGGCAGGACATGATGGCGGAGGGGGGCGGCCTTCCCCATCTCCCTGGGGTCTTTGGAAGGGGCAGTCCACAGATACGGGCAGTGGGGGGGACCAGGGAGGGCACAGCACCTCCACAGCCACCAGACTGTGACCATCGTAGGAGATTTGGGAGGAGCAGTGGGGCTGGGCAAGCCCCCCCACAGGCCACCCCCCCGCCGACATTCAAGTATTCTTCAAGAACAGGGAAGCAAAGTCAACCGATGTTTTTTCTTTCTTAAAAAAAAAAGAAACAACTAAACATGACGAACAATCCCGACCGCGGATTTAGAAGCCAGAGGGGCTGCCCCAGGTGTGGAGTTGGGGGGGCCGCTGCCCTCGATGCCACCTGCCACCACAGCCTCGCACTCAGAAGTGGAACCTTGTATTGCATAGAACGAACCCACCCTTGGGAAGGGGTGGCAGGACCCGCAGCCCCCAGGGGTCAGAGCGTGGAGGGTGGGGGGCAGACACCCCCAATTCCTGGGTGCCTGAAGGGAGGCTGAGGCCACTTTCCTGAAGGCGGCAGGCCTAAAACGCTGCCCTGAGGGTGGGGATTCGGCCAGACCCCAGGGTCTGAGCCCAGATCGAAGGGCGAGGATGGACCTGGCAGAGCTTCTGTGCCAGGCCTGAGGAGCGGCGCGAGGCAGGACGTGGCCACGGTCAGACTGAGCCCTGAGAAGGGGCACCGGGTGCCCAGAGGGGGTGTCTTCGGGACCCCCACGTTGGCTGACAGTGCCTGTCCAGCCCCTCTGCCTGCAGTGGTGGAAGTGACTGCGGGCCGGGTGGGGCTCCTGCGGTCTCAGGCCCTGGCGCAGTGGGGAGGGTAGCGGCGAGCCCCCGGGGTCAGCTGCAGCTTAAGGTCAAGGTTGGAGGCTGAGTTGGGCCACCATGGGTCCTGGACAGATGGGCCTGGCAGGATGCCCGATTGTCAACTATCACAGGGACGAAGCAGGTGCGGGTGAGGGGCTGGGGTATCCGGTGGAGTGGGGTGGGTCGACTGCCCTCCACCTGCCCGCCTGGCCCATCTGGAGACAGGCATCCTCTCTCCTCCCGACCAAGCCACCAGGGGTGCCCTCAGGGTGAGGAATAGAAGGGAAGGATCTGTCCCTGAAATACTGCAGGTGGGAGGACACTCGGCAGGGTCCCGTTTCCCTCCCCACCTCTGGAAGATGGCCAACGCTGCTCTCCTGTCGCTGCAAGCCACGTGGGCAGGTGGCGGGCGGCGCAGGTGACCTGGGACACCTTGAGTTCAGGTGAGCGGGCCAGGGGGCCGGGGAATGGACAAGCCCAGCCCCAAACCCTCTGCCCACCTCCCCGGGTGACTGCATTGCTTTTAACAATCAAAAGGAGAAAAAATAAAGGGCAGGGGGCAGAAACGGGGAAAAAAAAACAAACCCAAAAGCAAAAACCTTCTATAAAACGGCCCCTCAGCTGAGCTTAGTGCCTGGGAATCCAGCCGGAGGAGAGGCAGCCCGCTGGACACCAGCTGGAGATAGCTTAAAAAACCTTTCGATTTGATCTGGGGACAGGCGACCTATATACAGAGGGAGACGGGAGGGTCAGGCGCGGTCTCCCACCAACACCACGGGGGCCGAGGACAGGCTGGCCCTTTGCCGCCGCTGGGCCAGCTTGGACTCAGAGGGCGGGGACAGCTGCAGGCAGCGTGAGGTAGCTCGGACCAGGACGGGCTGGCCCTGCCCCGCAGCCTCCTCCTCCGCCAGGTCCTCGTCGCGCTGGGCCAGCTGCCGGTTCATGGCAATGGCCTCTGCTGCGAAGGACGTGAGGTCTTTGGCACAGCTGTTCCTGGTAAACAAGGTGGGGCAGGTGGTCACCCAGAAGGCACCCCTTAGGAGACCCCTGGAGTCTGTGCAAAGCTTTGGACAAAGAGGCTGTCTGTCCCCTTCCCAGCCCCCTTGACGCCAGAGCCCTGCCGGAAGCACCATTGAGTCATCCGGCACTTGCCTGCCTCCCTGACCCCAAAGAGGCTTTCTGGGTCTTTCACAAGCACCTTAACTTGGAAACCCTGCCCCCTGGACCCGGGCCTCACCTCTGCAGGACCATGGGAGTGGGCAGGGTGTTCTCCGGGGCGCACTGCAACGAGAGTGGGGGAGGCAGGGCTGGAGAGCAGCCAGGGCGCTGACAGGGTATCCGGCCAAGGGACGGACGCCATGCCCACCCCGTCACCAGGACCCGACCTGAGACCAGGAGTGCAGCCGAGTGCCCCATGAGCCAAGTCCCCCGCCCCAAGGTCTCTATGGGGAGGCTCCATGTCCATCTGCCCAGGGAACAGGAGGCTGAGCCAGGCTGGCACTGCAAGACCCAGTGAGGGTGAGGGGCTGAGCCCCAAGCCCCACCTCCCCCAGCTGTTCCCAGCCCAAACCACCTCTGCCCTGCTCAACCCACAGGTCTCTGGATGCTCCTGGGAGGGGTATGGAGGTCCCCAGCCCCTCGCCTGGAGAGAGTGACCCCAGCTGCTATTCTTAGTAAATCCTCACTCCCTGGGGTGGCAGCTCTGCACAGATGACCTCTGGCAGTAAACACCCAACTGCTCCCAGATTGGAAGCCACAGAGGATGGGTGGAGGTGGGGCGTGGGCCTGAGACCTAGGCCAGGCTGGGCCGGGGTCTATGTCGGCTGGGCTAGCTGCCGGCCTGACTCCAGCTTGCTGCTGGGCACAGGTCCCCACCACCCTCCAGATTACTTGAGTAACTGCTCCTGGGAGCTGCCGGGCCAGCGGGCACCGTGCATGCAGTGAGGATTTCGGCTGCACCCCTCATCCCAAGCCTCAGTGCATCTTGGGGTGCCCAGGTTACACCCTCGGGGCTTGCCATGTTTGCTGAGGCCGCCCCCATGCCCTCCCTGCCCTCAGGGCTGGCACTAACCCCCTGAACCCAGGGGTGCTGCAGGACTTGGGCGGCGCTCAGCCTCTGCTTGGCGTCGCGGACGAGCAGCTTGGAGATGAGGTCTTTGGCGGCGCAGGAGATGTGGGCCCAGTCCTTGTCGGGAAACTCGTACTTGCCCTCCTGGATGCTCTCAAACAGCATGTTCTGGGGGCGCAGAACACGGGGGTCAGCTGCATGACCGAGAGCATCCACACGGTAAACCTGGACTGGGGGCAGGGTAGCTTAGACCTGCCCCAGGGCCTGGATACTGAGGGCTGACACATGGCTCCATCAGAACCACAACTACCGAGACCTTAGGCCACGCATGCAAGGGGGAGAGGGGACTGGGAGCTGGATCCGGAGAGTCAGCTCTACCCAAGTAGACCTGGATTTCAAAAAGGCAGCTATGGGGGACCTGGTTACAGGGGTCACAGACCACAGATGCTGAGCCCTGACACTTGGGCAGGTGGCCTGAGCCTGATCCCCCCAAACCAGGGACCTCACTCCACCTCTCAGATCTCTCAACCCTGTCTTGCTTTTCCCTTGGGCAAGCAAAGCTGAAAAGCCATCGAGAACGTGGAGAACAGGGGGGCACTGCCCTACGGATGGCATCAGGGAGCAGGGCGTACAGGGCAGGTCCCTGGGGTGCGGGGGGCGCACAAGGCAGGGCTCCTGGGGTCAGAGGGCGCACAGCTCAAGTTCCTGGGGTGGTCAGGGGGCAGGTCCCCAGGGGTGGCTGCGCAGGGCAGGCCCGTAGGGAAGTGTGAGCGCCTGGCACACCTGGCAGGCAGGGCAGGCCTCGCCGCGGTCCCAGCCACAGTCACTGCCACAGCGGCCCACAAAGGGTGGGTAGCCGCTGAGCAGGATGTACAGGATGACGCCCAGGCTCCACAGGTCGCAGCGCTTGTCGTAGATGCTGGCCTCCTCGCTGAAGGCCTCCACCACCTCCGGGGCCATGTACTCCGCCGAGCCGCACTGCGGGCGGGGGAAGGGCGCGTCAGCCGGGGCTTCCCGGCATCACGTGGGGCTCCAGCATGGGTAACTGCGGGTCACCTGCGCTGGCAGCTCGGACCCGCCCGACCAATCAGCGGCTGCCGGGAACGTGCCCCGCCCAATCAGCAGGTGCGGAGTTCGCCCCGCTCTGGCCGCAGCCCCGCCCCACCCGGCCAAACAGCGGCGGGGGTTGGCGCCTGCCCGAGGCCCCGCCCCGTCTCCCCTGCCAGCCAATCAACGGCTGTTGCTAGGCGGAAGCCCGAGCTCCGCGGCCTCGGCTCCGCAAGGTTACACAACCGCAGAGCGGGCGGCCGCGCCCCCAGCCCTCCCCGACCCTGACCGCGGGCCTCACCGGGGTGAGCAGCTCCGGGGTGGAGATGGGGGAGCAGTCCCCGTTGAGTTTGATGCCGCTGCCCAGGTCGAAGTCACAGATCTTCACGGGGGAGACCTACGAGGGGCCAAAGAGGACGTGAGCGGCCCCACGCGGCCCGCCCTCCAGCGGGGCCACCTGCCGGAGCTGGCCTACCTGGTTGGGGTGCTCACAGAGGATGTTTTCCGGCTTTAGGTCCCTGTGGGCGATGCCTGGGGGAGAAACCACAGAACCACAGGGGGTGAGGGGCTGGGGATCTCCCAGGAGTCCTTAGCAAGTGACCCTAGGGGACCTCGGGTGGGCTCACCACCCACCTTTGTTGTGCAAAAAGTCCAAGGCACTGGCCACGTCCTGCACCACCACGCTGGCCTCCAGCTCGTTGAAATGCCGGCGCTTATGGATGTGGCTCAGGATGGAGCCTGGGCAGGCAGGGGGAACACACAGGTCACCTCCGAGTCCCCTCAATGCCTGCCCCCACCTCCACTTTGGCGGGGACGCCCCCACACCGGCTTCCTCCAGCCCAAAGGCCTCGCCCCTGAGCCACCATTTATTTGGGCAGGACACTCAGACCCCACAAGCCCCCTCTCTCCAGGTGACACTAAGCCCCCACCCCGTAAGGACCCAGCTGGAAATACCTCCCCCAGCTCTCTCCCTCCCCCCAGCCTGGAGGCCCCCGCGTACCTCCCCGCATCTTCTCAAATACCAGGTAGAAGCGGTCCTCCTCCTCGAAGAACTCAATCAGCTCTAGAACGTTCCTGGGTGGGGGTGGGGGAGCAAGAGAGGAGCTCAGGCTTCCTGAGGTCCCTGGGTACCTGCTGCCCAGCCTAGGAGGGGTCTGTCCGCCAGAGACTGGGACTGGGGTAATGGGCCCACTTCACGCTGCCCACCTGGAGCTGCCAACCAGCCTGCTTCAGGGAGGGGAACATAGGGCCTGGGAATCTGGGCGCCCTACAAATGCTTGCTGGGATGATGTGGTGTTCAGGCTGAGGCCAGTGCCATGGAAAGGGTGGGTCACCTACCTGTGTCCCTGGCACTGGTACAGCATCTCCACCTCCCGGAAAACCCTGCTCCGAATGTGGCCTGGCTGCTTCTCAATGATCTGAAATGGGCGAGGGGACACAGCACCTGGGTGAGCGGGAGGCTCAGGGCAGAGAGGGGCAGGCCAGAAACTCCACTGCCACGCCTGGAACTCACCACACTCACACCCTGCAGCTCTAGAGAGCAGGGCTCACGCCTGTCATCCCAGCACTTCGGGAGGCTGAGGCAGGAGGATCTCTTGAGCCCAGGAGTTCTGAGACCAGCCTGGACAACAGAGCCAGACCTCATCTCTTCAAAACGCTTTTTAAGTTAGTAGTGAGCTATGGTGGCACCACAGCCTGGGTGACAGCCAGACCCTGTCTAATTAAAAAAAAAAAGAGAGAGAGCAAGTCAGGGACAGGAAGGAAAGAAAGAAGACCGGGCGCGGTGGCTCAAGCCTGTCATCCCAGCACTTTGGGAGGCCGAGACGGGCAGATCCCGAGGTCAGGAGATCGAGACCATCCTGGCCAACATGGTGAAACCCCGTCTCTACTAAAAATACAAACATGAGCTGTAATGTTTGCCTGTAATCCCAGCTACTCAGGAGGCTGACGCAGGAAAGCAGAGATGGCGCCACTGCACTCCAGCCTGGCGACAGTGAAACTCCATTGAAAGGAGGAAGAGATGAAGGAGAGGAAGCAGAGGAAGAGAGAAGGAAGGAAGGGAGAGAGGGAAGGAGGGAGGAGAAGAGAGAGAGAAAGGACAGAAAGAAAACAGAAAAGCCAGTGGGCCAGCTCTCCACCTGCAACCCTGACAGCTCTCCGAGACATACTTGGACCTGTGACTTTTGCAAAATACCCCCACAGGACGTCAGGGTCCCCCTGCCTTACGCGGCCACCCTCCATGACCAAGAGACGGTCAGCTGTAGTTCTCTGTCCCCGGGAGCCGGCTCCCATGTGACCCACAGAACTAGGGAACAAGGCCCCACCTCACATGTGGCCACAGCACCAAGTCCTGCTCTCTGACTCTGTGCCAGCCTGGGCAGACTCCTGCCTGCCACCTCTGCTGACGTCTGTTTCAGGCCCACCCTGGTTGGCCGCCCCAGCCACTAGTGGGAACAGCCTCCCTGAGCTCCAGAGCCTCAAGAAGCCACCCCGCTGCCCCCAACAGCTCTAAGGACCAGAGGTTCTTGCCTGATCCAGCTGCTCCCGGCCACCTTCACACACACAGGTGGGGTCAGGAGGCGCCCACAGCTCCCCTGGCACCTGCTGGGACCCTCTTCCCAGGCTGGACACGCTGGCCCCTCTCACTGGGCAGATGGCTGCCTGCATGACCGCGCCGCCCCGGGTTCCCTGCCTGCTGTGGTGGCCTGGCGGTGGTGGTGGGGGACGTGGTGTCCACTCGAGCCACCTCTGCCCTGTCCCGTGTCTATACTGACCAACAAAACTGCCCTAGGAAGGGTCAGGAGAACAACTGGACACCAGGGTGTCCTGAGATGCCACCACCCAAGCCGCCGCCAACGGCTGAGCCCGACACGCACTGCAGATGGTTCTGGAGAAAACTCAACTCCGGCCAGGCGCAGGGCTCACGCCTGTAATCCCAGCACTCTTGGAGGCCGAGGCAGGCGGATCACGAGGTCAGGAGTTCAAGACCAGACTGGCCAACATGGATAAATCCCGTCTCTACTAAAAAAATACAAAAATTGGCCAGGCGCAGTGGCTCAAGCCTGTAATCCCAGCACTTTGGGAGGCCGAGGCGGGCGGATCACGAGGGCAAGAGATTGAGACCATTCTGGCCAACATGGTGAAACCCCGTCTCTACTAACAATACAAAAATTAGCTGGGTATGGTGGCGTGCGCCTGTAGTCCCAGCTACTCGGGAGGCTGAGGCAGAAGAATTGCTTCAACCTGGGAGGCGGAGGTTGCAGTGAGCCGAGATCATGCCAATGCACTCCAGCCTGG